CCCCCCCCCTCTCCCTTTTCTCCAATAGGTCATGTCCAGATCAGGAGGTCTACGAAGCTTCCCTGTACGATGGGGCGGAGTTTGCCAGCTATACCTCTCACTGCTCCCCACCACAGGATAGGATCGGGTTTCCAAGAGGTACAACTTACCACCCCTCCTACGGAGTCGTCACCACCCCTAGGAGGGGTATTTATTTCTGCCGAGCTACCGACCCATGTGCGCACCTTCACTGTACGCTGGGGCCGAGTGCGCCAGCGATACCTCTCACTGTTCACTACGACAAGATAGGATAGGGTTTTCGCGAGGCACAACTTACTACCACCTCTTCTAAGGAGTTGTCACCACCCCTAGGAGGGGTATTTCCGCCGAGCTACTGCCCCACGTGTGATCGCCTCCCTTGCAGGCGGATAATTGCCTGTCAGGATTGCACTTGGAACGCCTAGCAGCTCCGCAGCATTCGGCTGCAGTTGGTCCCCGCCTCGTATTTACTATTTTCACATGAACGCTTCGTCTCTGCAGCTGTCCTTGTGCAACAGTTTGAAGAAGAAGAAGAAGAAGAAGACAAAGAAGAAGAGAACAGAAGAAAGAAAGAATGAATGAATGAATAGAGAGAGAGAGGCGTATGATAGGTGACTATCTGGCACTTAATCCGGAGAAGTGATTGTTGTGAGGAAGGAAAGCCGTAGGAGGAAAAACACTGAGAAGAGTTCGTGGGGACCACGTTGCTGAGTTTGTGGAGATGGCTTCTTACAATTGGGTCTGAGACGCGTACTGTGTATGCCTGCGGTGAATGTGATATTTTTTCTCTTTTTTCCAGGAAAGTAAGGACTATTGTCGACGAACCGGCTATCGAGAGGAGGTAAGGTGCGAGCCTGCACTTGAAGTGGAGAGCGAGGAGAGAGAGGGAGATGGAGATGGAGATAGAGAAGGAGAAGAAGGTGAAAACAAGGTGCAGGCCATGCAAGATCCCGACCCAGAAACTGCTGAGGGTCGTAAACCTGCTGACAAGAGCTTAGAACCCTCATCGGTCGCAAAGAAGAACGGAACAGGGAGTGAACCTGGTGACGACGAAAAAGGGTTTGTGGACGGGGAGGACGCGAACAACGAAGGGCCAAGGAAACGAAGGCTTCGCCGTATCCTAGCAGCAGAAGAGCAGAAAGTGTTGAGGTCATGCATACCGTTTGGTGACGAAGTGGACAAAATTTCAGTCTGGGCTTTTGAGGTGAGCTGAGCCTTTGTTTCTTTTTTACTTTTCATTTTTTTGTATGTTTGTTGGCTTGTAAATAAAGGGCTACAGCACTTCGATGTCATCATGCAACTGACCAGTCCTACCTTCTTCCCCCAAACACACAGTGCGGTCATTAAAGCAGTATTTGGGTTATCTTTCAGTATAAATACACAGCTGCAATGACCGGACGTTGTATTTGCATCACGCTGCAATCAACATGCTTATCTCAGCATCGTCCTGATGCCAAATTGAATATTCCCATCATCCTTTTTTTTTTTTTCATTATCTTCGTCGTCTTCTTTATCGTTCTCTTGTTTGGCAGTTTGGTTTTTGTCGTCTTGCGTCTTGTCGACATAACAAGCATGGTTGGTGCTGTCATCGAACTCCTCGCTATCGTCATCGTTGGTCACTGTCAGTGCATACTCGCACTAGGACTTTTGTACTTAGTTCGGGACGGAATTGTGGCCACATGCATCCAGGTGCAGCCGTGAATGCTGTGAGGTACATCCGTGTGGCAAAAATCCAAAACACACACAGACACTTTTTTGGTGTGCTAGGCAATGGTTGCTTGTTTGTGGGCGGGTTTGCAGCATTGTTATCATCAGTGATTTTTTTATTATTTATTATGATTTTTTTCAAGGCCACGGCCTTGAGGGAGAAAGAGAAGTTTTTTACGGGCCTTTTTTTTTGAAGGGCAACGTACTTGCTTCGTCTGTTTAATAGGCTTTCTTCTTCTGTGAGGTTTGGTTTCCTCCGCCTTTTCTTTACCTCTTTGCCTTTTGGCTGTGTGCAAGTGGGTCTTTATGACACACGGGGATGGGGGCAGCCAGCGCTCAACCTGTCATCCACGTGGCTGGCCTTGTACGCACGAGGTTATGAACGGGTGGAGCGTTCCTTACCTCTTCTTCTTCCCCTTTTTTCTTTTCTCTTCTTTTCTTCTTCTTTTTTTCGCTTCTGCGCTCTGATTCACAGTGTGACAATATATACACCTCAGGGTATCAGTTGTTGGGCAGTCATTGATGCTTAACCACAGCCGGGGTTAAGGTGGATTATCACTTACAGTGTAATCAGTTAGGGGATTCTGCAGACTGTTGAGGGTTCAGCCTCCTGATGAGTCGGTGAAACTCCGACGAAACAGTTTGCCACAGCCCCTCGTTTGTTGTCCTCTTCTCCCTCTCTCCCTACGGTTTACCGGGCAGCTCTGTTTGACTCTATATACACTAAGGGAGTTTTTTTTTTTTTAATAAACATTTATTTAAGGGGACGGCCTTTAGATATCATCATTGGACTGACCGGCCCTAGGCGATTCAGAAGTACAGCATTTTGTTCATCTGACTGTATCTGGATTCGAACCTGGGTTTGTATTTCAACAGTTCATGGGCGTGTACCAACCGAGCTTAGGCCCGTTTGTAGTGATAGACCTTTTGGGAAACGGACATGCGGAGTTTGTGAAGGGGATGGTGAGTGTGTAGGTAACAGCTTATTCGGGTGTCTGCTAATTCGGGTGCGGAAGTCGTACAGTGTATAAAAATCCTGCATCCTTCAAAAAAAACAAAGAGGCCCATTTTTAACGCCGTTTTGTGCGCCTGTGGCTTTGTTGCTGTGTAATGGATACCCTCCACTCGTGCCAATTGTTTCTTGCAGGGTATTATGCTGGCGACCTTTGCAGTAGCTGCGCCAGTTGTCCGCTACCGCCGTGGAAGGAGCTCTGCGCCGCCAGGGATGACCCGCCTCCCCGGTTCCGTGTGGTTTTAGCTTCCTCGCTCTTTGATGTTCACAGCGCTTTCACAGATTTCACAGAAGATTCACATTTCACAGAACTTTCACCATTTGCCTTGTTGTCAAGCCCAGCTTCTACCTGATTGTTTCGCGGCTCGGAGGAGGCTCTGTTTCCGCCCCCTCTTTCACACCTCTCCCTCCCTTTCCATCTCACTCCATCAGCAGCCTCTATGATTAGCTGTTGACTCTCCCCCACTTGAGGATGTCCCTATCTCGTGCTCTTGTCCATGGGCCTCGTTCCACTACTTACCACATGCAGAAAAGTCATTTTCTAGCAGAAGATTCATTCTCATTTTGCACATTTCGTGAGTGGTGGACCGAGGCCGCATGTCAACGGTATTAACTCGATTGACTGGTCGCCCGTGGGCCACTACATCGTTTGCCTGCTCGGAGAGTAAATTTTCCTCTTCCTGAGCGAGAGCATCTTCTCTCGGTCAGCCTCTGTCTTTGATCGACCAAGTGTTGGGGCCCTCCCTCCCTTGAGGACATCCTTCTGTCGTCCTCGCGAGCGCGAAGGTTGTCGAGACGAGTCTTGGTAATGGCTAGTGACCATATCTTGGTAATGGCTGCAGAGTTTTGTAACTTGGTTATCATTCATTGAGAGAGGAGCGTCGATACATTCTATAGGTGGTGGTGGTGGTTTTTTTCCCCCCCCCCCCCCCCTCCCAGACTAGTGATTCTTTGAAATATATACAAGGTCAAAAAAGGAAAAGAGGAGGGACAAGGAGAAGGAGGAGTCTATCACGTATCTTCAAAAACGGGTATCATGAAGATGACATTCAATTTTCCGTTGTCAGGGTCTAAGGGGATGCCGTCGGCGGCCATACGACGGACCTTTTTGGACGCAGGTTGTCAAAATGGGGGTGGTTCAACGTCCATACGACGATCCTTTTTGGACACATGTCGGCAAAATGGGGGTAGTCATGGCAGTGGCAAGGGTGGTGCGGTCATTTCAGGAAAAGCCTACAGTACGAGAAAAGGACCACCTAGTGTTCTCTTTACCAAGAGGAGGTGGGAGCTAGAGCAGTCGGGTGCAAGGCCAGCGATTGGCAGTGATGGGTGCCATGGTAGGCGGGGGCAATACATCAGCAAAGAAGCTTCGTCGATTCTAATGCTGAGCGGTGGGTCGCACTCCTGCCGCCGCACACTAACGGTCGCCCGAAAGTTCTGCAGTCTACCATCAGCTGCGGAGCGAGCGTTGGAAAATGGAGGAGACCGGTACTGCTTCACAAACTCCTCCTCCCTTGCCTGCCCCAGTGTGTGGGATGTGAGGTTGTCGAAGTCGATTGGTGTAGGATGTGTTGCCAAGAGCGGGTACAGGACTAAGAAGAGTTTGAAAACGGCGGAGCAGAACGATTCGTACAGGTTGTTGTCTTCACTTGATCGCAACTCTTCTGGGTCGGGTGCAGAAGGACCCGCGGGTTCTGTCCTTGTGAAGCAAGAAGGTGTGAAGGACGGAGCGAAGACACCGAAGGAGGACTTGCCGGCCAAGGAGTCGGCAGACGAGCGAACATCGAGCAGTGGGGCAGATCTGACAGGGGAGCAGTTGTGGCAGGCAATCCGGGAAGAAGCAAGGAGAGACTCGGAGTCAGAGCCGGCGCTCGCGAGTTTCCTGTACTCGACGATCCTCGCACACCCATCGCTCGAACGAGCGCTGGCCTTTCATATTGCGAACAAGCTATGCTCGTCGACACTGTTGAGCACCCAACTTTACACGCTAATAGCGGATACCTTCATGGAAGATGCGGACATTCGAGCAGCGGTTCGTGCCGATTTGCAAGCCGTCAAGAGCCGCGATCCCGCGTGCGTCGGGTATTCCCACTGCCTGCTGAACTTCAAGGGCTTCTTGGCATGTCAATCGCACCGTGTGGCCCACCGCTTGTGGAACCAAGGGCGCATCGCTTTGGCATTTGCATTGCACAGCCGAGTTTCCGAAGTGTTTCACGTCGATTTCCATCCTGCTGCGAAAGTGGGCCATGGTGTCCTGTTCGATCATGCTACAGGCGTCGTTGTCGGAGAGACAGCAGAGATTGGAAACAATGTCTCTATCTTGCATCATGTGACACTGGGTGGCACTGGATCGTCCGGTGGCATTCGCCATCCAAGGGTTGGTGACGGCGTTCTCATCGGAGCAGGTGCCACGGTCCTGGGACCCGTCAGAATTGGTCAGGGGGCCAAAATAGGGGCTGGGTCAGTGGTACTCAGTGATGTCCCAGCCCATTGCACTGCAGTTGGCAACCCTGCCAAACTGCTGGGAGGGAACCGTCCGATTCAGCTCAACGAAATTCCCAGCGAGAACATGGATCACACTTCCTTCATTGATTTGTGGTCAGATTACATCATCTGATTGATTTCCGGTTGTTGTTCTTGCTGCAAAAAGGCCAGTGAGCAAGCCTGTCCCCGGTGAAGTTAGTTATGCTTTGCCGAATCAAGGTCACAACGTTCTTCTCGCCACACCAAGCAGCCCCATCCGTTTCCCGTGCGGGTAAGTGTCTGGGTCCCACACGGAGGCTGCGTTCAAGCGTAGGCTGCGGCAAGTGCATTCGCGTCCTTCTTGGAAGGCCACCTCCTGCAACTCAGCCCACCGCATCGCACTGCGTCTCGTTTCTACAGTGACCTGCATCGTGCTGCGTATCGTTTGTACAGTGAGCCGCATCGTGCTGCGTATCGTTTCTACAGTGACTAGCACACATCCGTCGCCAGGGGATTTATAGAAAGCTACCGTCGTCCCACAAATAGAAAAATGTATATGGTCATTGTAGCTGCATTTTGGGCAACTTTTCAGTCTAGATACGGTCATAATGGTCATAAGTTCCATTGGGGCGGAGACGGTAGTGGTAGTCTGCAGCAGGTCTCGTCCTTACTGTCCCAAGATGCTCGCAGCTCCTCTTCGTCTGCCCAAGAATCGGGTTCGGGTTTGAGTGGCGTTCCACGGAGATCAGACTCATCAGATGGCTGTTGGCAGCCTGTAGGGTCAGCGGCATTTTTGGGAGCAGGCCTTAGTGGTCGTACTCTCGGTTCCTCGATGTCATCTCCTGCGATGTGGCCTGCTCACACACCAGGTTGTTGGAGGCGGCCTTCTACTGAGGCCAGAGTGCGGTGGGCAGCGGCATTTTCGGGAGCAGGTCTTAGTCGTTGTCCTCTCGGTTCTGGAGCAGGCCTCGGTGATGCTCCTCTCGGTTCGGGAGCAGGCCTTAGTGGTTGTCCTTTCGGTTCGGCAATGTCACCTGCTGCCATGTGGCCTGCTCACCGGCCTCTTTTCACTCTTTTGGTATGCTGCTGGGGGTGGAGGGGGGCGTCCACTGTATGTACAGAAGTGTGACAGTAAGTAGGGGCAGCGGACGAGGTCATTCAGCTGTGGGGTGAGGGGTGCCGGTTGGACGGGTCAATCACGCTATGGCGAGACCGTTGCCCAAGGTGAGCTCAGAGTTGGAATCGCAGCAGGATTTCGGAAGTAAATTTGTTTGAAGGGGTTAGACCTCAGGCCCAAACATTGAGGACCAAGGGGGGGGGGGGGCATAGTTTATTGTTGGTGTGGATTCGATACTCGGAGCAGGATTTCTGAAGTAAATTTGTCTGAAGGGGTTAGACGTTGAGGACGAAGGGGGGGGGGAACATAGTTTATTGTTGGTGTGGATTCGATACTCGGTGCGGCAGGTAATGGTTGCAGACTGGATGCGATGGATAACGAGGACAGTGACTCCCTTGCCCCGTACTCTTGGGGCGGTAGACAATCTTGTTCACATGAGAAATGAAGACAGCAACTTCCCTCGGACGGAAACTCTTGGGGTGGTGGGATTCTTGTTCTCCTTGCTCACCAATGATGTCTTAAACCGGCTGTGCACGGCCGCAGCCTTGTGGACATTCGTTCACCGGCTGCTCCAGACTTCTCGGGGCTTGGGGATGCAGGACCACAATGGCGGGCGACTCCAGCCCAAAAAGAAAAAAAGTGGGCCGGCCCCAGCCTTGTGGACATTCGTTCACGGCCTGCTCTGGACTTTTCGGGGCTTGGGGCTACCGGACCACAATTGCTGGTGGCTCCAGGCAAAAAAGGAAAAAAGTGCTGCAGGCTTGGCAAAGCTTGGTGGTTTAAGTAACAGGAAGGAACCTGCATGTTGGGGTGGTAGAAATCTTGTTCAGATGGGTAATTAGGACAGTCACTTCCCTCTGACACTCTTTAGGGTGGTAGGACTCTTGTTCTCGCTGCTCAGCAGTGGAGCATCAAGTAACTGTGATGAACAGATTATGAGTTCAAATCCTGCACCTGGCATACGTACAGTAACGCTCATGGGCACTAGGTGGGCGACTCAGAAACTGAAGAGGTTGAAGAGGTGGTGAAGAAGGCCTGATAGCTGGGCGGTACACAGTGCTACACACATGTAACTGTGATAAACAAGATCATGAGTTCAAATCCTGATGTTCAAACCATGGTTACCATCCAGAGTTCTGCACAGGCATCCAAGATTATCTGGATCTGGTTGTCTGTGTCATGTTGTCTGGACTGGCCTCTCCCCGTCAAATTAAAACAAACGAAGGGGGTTAGCTTGGAATCGTTGATTGGGTATCCGGCCAGCCCCACAAAGTTCTTTGAATATGATGCTCGATATTTCAATCCAGAGCAGGCCGGTGGATAGGCAACAGTTCTGCAACACTTTCTCTGTGTGTGTGTGTGTGTGTGTTTGTGTGTGTGTGTGTGTGTGTGTGTGTGTGTGTGTGTGTGTGAACAAGTATGTGTGCGTG